GGGGCACATTACAAACCCGTCGACAGTGAAAGTTGAACCATCACTAGGGCACTAGGGAAAGAAATACCACCATCATTGAGCATCATCGCCAGATATTCAAGCTGTCGAGCCCACAAATCCTGAGGAGGAGCAATGCGCTGCGTGGTAGTGCTTGGTTTTGCCAATTTGGAAACTTCCGTCACTCGCTGCTGCAGCTGAGTAGGTTCTTTACAAAGGAAGGACTCTTGCTGATAATGTTGCATAAGCTCCATATCATTGTTCCAGAAGGAAGGATCTCTTGCACGATTAGCGGACTTCGCCTTTGAATCCGCAAAGTCATTGTGGAAAATGGTCCACGCATCATGGGCCGATTTGGCTTCACTGATATTGCGGTGGCTCTTCACTTTCCAGATTTGCCAACGGTTGGCATTATCAGATAGCTCAAGCCAAATTTTCTTCCAAAGACAATAATTCTGAGATTGTGCGCAAACATGTTCGACCCAACCTCGCATCTGCAACTGACGGAACCCATCGCAACAGTACTGGCTATCAGTATAAAAATATCCTTTTGCTGCAGTCCCTGCAATTTTGTACAACTCAGCACGATTGTTGGTCTGAATGACACCAGGCAATGGCCCAGATGGAACATACGCAGGATCAAACATGTCTGGTGTGGCAAGCACCAACGACCAACTGCTGATTGCAAGACATGACTGTGTGCCATAATCAGTGGAACCATCCGCTAAATAGATGACATCCTCATCAATGAACGGATATTGGGACTCATCAGGAATTGCACCCAACATTTGAAAGTGCTTTTGCTGCGCATCCGGCACTGGAAAGAAAGCGGAAATTCTGCACGCATTAGGGAGAGGAATCAACTGATTTGCCTTCAGTGGATTTGATTGCACCCACAACATAGTTTGCTTGACATGCGATGTACTTTTTTGCATCACCCAGCATCTGTCGTGTCCGGGTAACCGAGAATTTAGTCAATCCTTGACACTGGACGTCACGTCGAATATGTGCAAGAATTACTTGAACCCACGCATCATATAGGGCATCATTGATATCTGCGCTTGAATTGCAGGTAACACTCCAGCATATATCCGCGTGATCCACAACCATACCATCAGGAAGAGGCTTCCATCCTATCTGCTGCAATTGTTCCAAGACATATGAAACTGGGCCTACCAACATGATACTGCCTGCATTGACAGCAACATGTCAAGGCCTGGACCTTAAGGTCTGGGCCTGGACCTTGAGTTCAGACCTTGGACCTAGACCTCGGACCTTGAAGATATTGTCAATTATTATTAGGGCTCCTCAGACTTAGGGTTTGGGGTTGCTTTATATAGAATGACTCTATATAGAGCTAGGTCCAGCTCTGAGCAAGGTTTAAGCACGTTCGTGTTAAGGCTTGGAGATACAGCGGTTCTCCAAGCCGACGTTACCTGTGTGGAGCGTAGCCAAGCTCGGCAGTAGTCATATACTCCCTCGGCAAACGTCGCGCCCAACGTTAGGGCGCGACGCGTTTAGGATTTAAGGGTTTTGGATTTAGGGTTTAGGGGTTTTGTATTTAGGGTTTAAGGTTTTCAGCTTCTGGGCTCAGGCCTACGCGTGGTGAGGTCGTTATGGGTAGCGGCCCCCGCAAATTGAGCCATGGCTGGTGATCCCCCTGGTATAAGTGATGGTTGGCAATCAAAGGATTTTGAGTGGGCCCGCTTACAGACCTTGGCTACTCAAATCACACCGAACCTTCAGGATGGACGTGCTCGTAATTTCCTGGTGTTGCCTTATGAGGTTCCGAATTTCCATGATGGTGAAGTCTTGGTGAGGGCCAAGGTTCTTGATCGACATTCGGCGCTTGAAGAGCCAATTGCTTGGTCTTCAGGAAGTAGTGACAGGGCTTTGTTGCGCATGCGTCTTCCAGACTGGGAGCTGCACAAACTGATGCGCACAAACTGATGTCGGGGCCATTGAAGGTCATTAATGTCAAGGTTACCTGGGTCGGAGCCTGGGTTCTGGACTGTACACCTCTTGAGAGCGTGGTTGTCTCAGCAGTGGCCGTTCGCAGGGACACGTGTCTGCAGGTTGCGGAATCCTTTTCGGGCGCATTCATGGGGCTGCCTATATGTTGCACAGGATGCAGGTCCCAGTTAGTACAACGTGGGGCATCGAGAGGAGCCCGAGTTGCATTGAGGCGCGGCAAAAACAACAGCAGTGCACGGTGGTAAGCAACATCTCAGAGCTGTATGAGGCGAGGGAGAGCAGTAGTCCTTACATCTCCTTGGTAGCTGATGTTTCTGATAACTGGTGGTTGAGGGTTCTGGCCTTTCGTCCCCCACAGGTTGCAGTAGTTTCCGCCCCTTGCCCACCATGGAGCCGAGCAGCAAATGCCCCAGGCCTTAAACACCCTGATGGACAGCTGTTGCTCCGCATGGCTGACGTGTGCGGAACAGCGGAGGTTCCAGTAGTTGTACTGGAGCAGGTCGAGGGTTTTGCACATCATGCGCATTATTCTGATGTCCTCCGTGCATGGGGTTTGTCAGGATACACTGTGGTCTGGCAAGACATCTTGGATGCACAAGCAGTGTTGCCAGCAGCAAGAAAGCGCCTCATCATAGTCTTACGGCACAAAGTCTGTCCTGTAGGCTTTCCTTTGCCCAAATTTAACTGGGGGTTGCAACGGCAGCCGAGTTTGTCTTCGGCAAAGGCAATTCTTGATCTCCCACCAGACATGACAGACAGCCTCATACTTCCGCAGGATGTGTGGCAAACCTATATGGACCCATGGTACCTCCCCAACCGCTCTGGGACACTGGGTACCCCTGAATCAGCGTATGCCTTTAGGGTAAAAACAGGACAGCAGTCGACTGGCTGTTTCCTCGCACAAGATGCTTTTCAGCACCAGATGCCCCACGATCTGTTGGAACGACGTGGCTTGCTAGGACATCTGGTTCATGATGGGGTTCGCGGCCGCTTTTTCGCTGGGGCTGAGATAGCCGTTACTTTGGGAGCTGTAGGGCCTGTATGTCTGTCTAGGGACATGCGTGAACAAAATAAGGGGCTTGGAAATGCAATCTCCGTACCCCATGCAGCGATTGGATTGCTCTTTGCGGCGGCCACTCTGCGCATGCCTGGATTGCCCTCTCCTGAACAGGTGCTGTCTTTTCTGCAAAGCCACCGTCTCCGCAGCGATAATGCCGTCTTTGTGCCCAGCGGCCTTGACTGGATCCTCTGCCCTAAATGTGACCTTACGGACCTCTTGCGCCGCCTCACTGTCCTGGAGCCCTCACTAGGCTCAATGGACCTTTCAAGGGTTTTTGTACCTTTCACTGTGCAAGCGCCAGGGGAGCGTGTCACGGTCCAGGTTGCACAGTCAGCAGATTTGGCAGCAGTTTTGTCCTTTCTGGGCCTTGAGGACGTCGGCTCTCAGGTGCCAGAGACATGGGGCCCCAAGGTACAAGCAATGACTGTTCAGGTGCCCGCGTTGCCGTGCTTGACTTGTGAGGGACAGTGTGTTGGAGCCAATCATGAGGCCGGGCTGACCCTGCGGCTCACGCCTGCTGCCACTTACGTATTGGATAGCAGGTCCCCCGTGTTTTGGCCACAGGTCGTTCAGGTTGTTCATCAGTTGCAAGTCACAGCAGAGGAAGCTTTTGCCATGTATGTGCCAACCGGCGTCAGGTTGCCCTCCTGGGACCCAAAGTTGCCCTGCTGTTTGGCGTGTGCTGAGCCGGATGATCAGGAGTTGTTTCCACTTAGCTATTGGGCAGGCATGCGGCCGGAGGTTGAGATTCAGGAGGACGGAGCCGTACGGGTGCTCGTTTCTGGTGACACAGAAGGCGTGAAGGTCTGGCTGGGCATGCCGTACCATAGCCTCCACACGATTGGTTGGCAGACTCGTGTCATTGGTTTCCCTCCCAAGCCTTCTGGGGTAGTTGAGTTCCTGCACCAGCCCAGGGATGGGGTCCTTCGCGTTGTCCACCTGCACCGTGCCTGGCTTCTGGTTGCTGAACTCCAGGCCCTGCAAGCGCCACTAAGCCCTGAGCAGGGTGTACTGGTGGATGTCCAAGAGTCTTTGGAGGGGTGCCCTCCCGAAAAGCCTCACGTTGCAGGAGCTTGAGAACTTGTGGACACAAGTGTCAGTTGCATGTGGCCTGCCGCCGCTGTGCAGGGTCTTCTTTGGCCCTTTCCCACGCCCATGTCATTTGCAAATTTGTGAGATACGTGATGCGCAAGGCGCACGTGCCTGGACGAAGCGGGACTGTCTGGTCCTGACCTTCCACCCTACGGTTGTCGGAGGGGGTAGCATGTCTCCTGCAACCACTCAGGTCCTCACAGTTGCTTTGGGTGCAAGCATTCTCCAGGTGAGTGAGGTTGCTCACCAACGTGCATTGAGGCAGGAACTGTGCCCCGGGCAGCAGCAACCTAACATCAGCCTTGTAGAGTGTGTACTCCGCGAGCAAGCCTATTTATAGCAGAATTGCTGCGTGCAATTCACGATGCTGAAAATGGTGAGCCAGTGCACCTGACGCAGACCAACCTGAATGTGGGCCCGGGCAGCTTCTCCAAAATCTTGGCAAATCTGCAGGAGGATCTGGAAAAGATGGACAAGATGGAGGCAGCTAGGACGGCGCAAGGGCTACACAGCCATGCCTTGGCCTTGCCCACGAGCTTGGGTGGGAAACGAAGTCTAGACAGGGTGCAGCGACTGATTGCGCTGCTGGTTGCCTTCCATTTTCAACTTTGGCACCACCACCAACACAACTCGGGTGAACGGTCAACACGACTTGGCCATTGCGCCTGAAGACCTGTGCAGGTAGCATCCCGGAGCTCACCCAGCAGGGTACTCATGCGGCAAGGGAAAGGCCCTGTGAAGATTCGGCTCGCAGAGGGCAGGTGGTTGTGCTCAGACAAGTGTGCCCATATGTCCTCAAGGGATGCAATGGGGAAGGTCTCAGCGAGATGGCCTCGCCACACGCACTCAGTCAAAACATGAACCTCAACTGCCACCATCACCATGGCGCATTGCTCTCCAACCATGAGAGCGGACAACACTTGCGCCAAAAGCTGGTACCGTCTGGCTGTGGCTGAAACCCGGCGCGGCTGCTGCTAAGGAAGCTCAGTAGGCTCCTGACGGTTCTGGCTCTTTCTTCGACTCCCTGGCCCTGAAGATTGTTGATGATGACGTTCATCGTGTTTTGTGTCAGCACGTTGAGCCCCTCACTGTTGTTCATAGGGTTTGTCAGCCCTATGACATCCGTCCACCAACGGATCTGCGGGTCCAGGTTGTCCAACCCTGGAATGGTTGCTCCCCCACCGTGCGCCGAAGAAGAGGCTGCAGTGCGGTCGTTGTCCTGGTCCTCCACGCACTCAACCTCGTCATCTTCCTTGGGCACCTGCCCACAAACCTTGTTGTCCCACTCCTCAGACGTCCCCACCTTGTTGTCCTGCTTGGCCTCTTCACTGTTAAGCCGGTCAGGGTAGTGCTGAAGGTGCCCCTCGCTGATGGACAACTCAACTCTAATGCATCCACTTAGTGCATCCCTAGTTCCCTGCTCACGACTTTGAGGTCGTCCTTGCGCCTGTCCACGAGTCCTCTGGTTCCATTCCTTAGCCGCCCCCACATTGTCGTCCTGCCTGGCCATCACGCTGTCGAACCGGTAGTCCGGGAGACGGTCTTCACTCATGAACACCACAACTCCATCGCAGCCGCATAGTGCACTGCAAGTTCCTTCATCGATCAGCACGGCGCCTGCGTCACATTCGCTTGCTCAGGTCCACTTTTGCTCATGGCGGGCGGCGGGTGTGATCATAGGTCAGGTTAGCCCGGGTATACACTCTCACATCGTCCGCCTCAGTGTGCATTGCCTGCTCCAAAGGGCATCCGGCGGAGTCCCCTTGCGCCCACTGACGCTCGAAGAGGTAGGCGAAGTCAAGGAGGGGGTAGTTGTTCACCAGGGGGTCGGCCAAGGGGCAGTCGTCACGAGCTAGATGTCCCTTGTTGGCCACCTCCGTTCCCATGTCAGCTTTTTCCTGTTCCCTTCGGGCAAAGAGGCATTCCACATTCGTCTGGGTGAGTGTCTCTACTCGCTGTTTGCCCTGGCGAGTCTGGTCAGGGTCATTGTTCATTCGGTCGCCCCATAGAAGTTCACGTTCAAGGACCATTGAAAAGGGGTGATCATGCCCAGCTTCTTGGAAGTGGCCACTCACACCGTACACGTAGTACACGGAGAAAGCGAAGGCCGGTAACCTCTTTGCCATGGCTAATCAGCCGTCGGTTGGTGGATGTGCGAGGTTGATCGCTCTCACCACTGAGCCAGCGGTTCATTCACGTTCACTCACAATCCCTGACAATCGGTCAAGCTCAAGCACAAGCAAAGTCTGTACACACCGTCCATCCGTACTTCACTAAAGATTGGGGAGTGCGAGTTGCCTCCCCGAAGCCCAAGCCACACATGTATGCTCACACCATTTCTGCTTGCGCCTCGCCCACTCCTGCCTGTTCATCGCAATTTCCCTCCATGCCGAAGTCTTGACTGTTTGGGACACCCTCCTCCGTTCACAGTTCATGAGGTGGGGAAAGTGGCGGCCATGCCGCCTCCCCGAGTTCAACTGCTGCTGTTCCTGCCACCGTGGAAGCCCTCGATACCACGAGAGCAAGCTAGCTGCCGAAGGTGAATCCCTTTCTATGCCCCTAACCCTGTGCCCCAGGAACTCCCAGTAGGCTTCCACATGTTTGTCACCCCAACGCTTGCCGTCGTGCTTGAAGATCATGGCTCTTGCTAGCCTTAGGGTTCTAGCCTCGTAGTCAACCCACAGTTCATCAGGTTTCCTGCCCAGCCGCATCATCCTTCTAACACAGTTGCACTGAAAGAAGTTGAGGATGTGCTGAAGTTGAAGGGAGGGGAATAGAGCTCCGATGACCCACCTGAAAACGCCAAATACAACCGTGTTGAGGAGTTTGAGTCTGCAGTTTGAGGGCTGCTTTACTCTGGAGCATGTGAAGGATGCCGAAGCACTTCTTCCTGGCTCTGTCCACCAGGTACTCGAGAACCCTTACCTCCGTGGCTTCAGGCCCCACCGGCAAATTCATGACAAAGAGGGCATCATTGTCTTTCTGAGGATACAAGGGTTTGCCATCCAGCAAGAGCGGGATAGTCGTAGACCCCTTGATGCACACCAAAACACACTTGGCGGGTTGTACATGGAGCCCAAAGAAAGCAAGGTTGGGGATTAGCTTGTTCACGAGGGACTGCAACGAGCTAATGGATGATTTCCACGCAAGAACATCGTCCATAAAAACAAGCACCGTCGACTGGGATCTCTTCACGCACCGGCCCAATGTGGTCTTGCTGGATATCACTGAGCACATCATCCAACAGCTTTGCAAAGAGCAGCGGAGATTCAGTAGCACCCTGCTTTACCCCCACATTCGCGTCAATGGCATGATCTCCCCACGGAAGTGAAAGGACTACTTCGCGACTCATCAGCATCCTCAACAAGCATCTTACCTCGAGGGGGAAGCTACCGTCGGCCCACTGGACAACCTTCTGCGCAAGACGAAACCTGGAGACGGTGTCGAACGCCTTACGGATGTCTAGTTTGAGGACATATGCATCGTGCTTCCATTCCTTCATGAGGCGCATAACCTGCAGTCATGTCCAAAGGAACGCGGCAGGTTGCCGTCCTTTCGCTGCGAACTGTTTGCAGCCCTTGACCTGGAGCACGGTTTGGAGCCTGGCCAGAATAAGCCTGGCAAAGGCCTTACTCACGTGCGACGCCAGCGCAATCGGCCGCAAGTCTTTGGGGCAGGTGGGTAGGATCACCTTAGGGAGGAGGCTGGTAACGGAGCGATTCCAATGTTCTGGGACCCGCCCTGACGCTAGCACTTCATTAAAGAAGCTTGTAATAGCCTCGAGGGTGGTGGGGTCCTGGAGAGTGCTTGAAGGAGCTCCGTGGGTATTCCGTGGGCCCACTGCCTTACCCCTTTTCCCTTTTGCGATCGCCCTGGCCACCTCATCCTGTGTAAACCAGTGTCCCTGGCGCTCCCCACCCAGCGCATCAATCAATCCTTCCAGCTTTTCCATTTCCTGCTCATCCTGTGCGCTATGGAAGACTTGCTCGAAGTGATCTGTGATTTGTTTCACCGGATCTTCAGCCTCAACCGTGGCCATATAAAGCTCTCCCCATTGCTTCTTAGGCTTGGTGATGGTTTTGTACAGGCCCCAGTCCGCGCATGCTCTCTCAATCCTGCCCTCCCTCCATGCTTCTTTCTCCCTTCGCAGCTCACTCCTATACTTCTTCCAAGCCTCCGCCGTCCGCCCAGCCTTAGCCATGTCTTTAAGTGTTGCCACCGCCGCGCTAGGTGTGAATTTGTTGCCAAGTGACAGTGGCTTAGTGTGTGTACGCGCCAGGGCCTTCAGCGAATCCTGAGTGATTGTGTGTTGCTGATCAGGCTGCACTCGTGGCCCCCCAGCCCTCACGCCTTTAGTCCTGGCCTGACCCTTCCCCGACAGGCCCAGCACCATCTCAACCCTGTCGTGGTCTGATCCCACTTCGTGTCTGCTGCCCTCCAGGATGCGTATTTGCGAGACCATCCCTGCCGTAAAGAACCGTCCCCTTTCTGGAGTGGAAGGTGGCTACATGCATCTGTGAGGCTGAAGGCACCGCCTGCTGCAATCCCGCCTGCATCATGCCCTGTCTTAGCGCTGCCCACTTGGGGGATATAGTTCCAGGCACAACTCCATTGTCGTCTTCCCGCCACACAAACTGAACGTTGAAGTCCCCTAGAACCATCGCCGCCTGCGCCCCTTTAGGCCTCGCCCCCAGAAGCTCAGCCAGAAGTCGAGCAAGTTCGTCTTTGCTCTCATTGTTAGGCAGGTGGACTGACCCCACGCAGAGTTGTTGCTGTGCGCGGACATGACGAAGCTGAACCCAGACCCCCCTTGCCACGCTGCTTTTCTTCAGCAGGTGGAACTGGTCACTGCGACACAGAACCCCGACGCCACGATACATGAAGTAGTTCTGGTAAGTGACTCCGTGGAACTTCTCCCCCGTGATAACCTTCCACCAGGCCTCTTGTTTCGGGAATTCTTGGACAGCAATCACATCACAGTCAATGACATGCGCAAAGGTGGACTCGATGGACTTGGAGCTAACCCCAGCAAGGTTCCATGTAGCAACCCTGATCTGAGCATTTTCCTGCGAGCAGTCTTCGCACCTTCTTCTCAGCCCTTCAGCAGGGTCCATCGGAGCCTTCACGGGCTCCACGCTTGGAAAACTTTCCTCAATGACTTCCTCTTCCGAGAGCATTTCAGCATGAAAGAACTTAGGCCCTGAAACACCAGCATGATGCCTGTGTGGAGCTCGACTCTTAGAGGAACAAGCATCCGTCACGGTTTTGCCATGGTCCTCAGCTCGAGATGGAAAAACGACTGTACAATCCTTGTCGGGAGGGGTAGGTGCGAAAGTGGACAATGCGTACCCCTCATCTTGGCGGTATCTCAGCACGGTACCCTTAAGGCAGCCTCGCGGAGCTTCATCAAAAACACGCACTCGTCCTCGGCCAGGCTGTGCCCTGTCACCTCGAGCTCGTGTCGAGGAGCAGGTGCTCAATAGACCTAGCCCCGAATTATGGATCAGCTGGTTCACTTCCCTATCTCAGCCCTGCACTATCTTCGCCCACACCTCTTCAAGGTCCTTCTCCTTCTTGCCGCTCAGCTTGCCAATGAGCGCGAGGTCAATCCATGAGTGGTCCATAATGCCCTTTTGCACCTGCGAATGATTCCGCACTTTCTCGACCGAGGAGACAGGGGAGTCCTTAAACCAAGTGCTCCCCGTAGAGTACCCACCTTCGACTTCTGCAACCCCCAGGCCAAGTTGGTAGAAGAGCTTGCGGGTTTTTCCACAGTGCGCCCCCGATCCCCTATCGCTGCGAGGTCTGCTCACAGCTGCCCAGATTGTCTTGCACTCAGCTGTGTTCTCGGACTGCACACGAGCCCCATTGACCGCCGCTATGATAGCCATCATTCGCGCTCGGAGGCCATCGGCATTCTCATCCTTCCTCACGGCGAACTCTGCAATGGCCACACTATGACGGACTGCAGGGACCCAAGGCGGGCTATCAAGTAGGCCATCGACCTGCGCATCCTTCAGCACTGCCACGAGACCGCTAGTGACGAGGGCCTTCTTAGTGTCCGTTCTCCAGCCGCCGAAGACCAGTGCCGGGCCTCGATCGGCAGCGCCACCCGACCCAGAGGGTCCCGACATCGCAGGCTTTGACTCCAGCTTGTCGAGCCTCGCCAGGATCGACTCAAAGTTGGCCTCCATCTTACCGACCCTTTTTCCCCCTTCTTCGATTTGCCCTGTCAGGCTCGTCTTTGTCTCGTCCAGTGCCTTCATGACCTTCGCTTCACTCTGGGCAACAGCGCCCCCAATTTCCTGCCTGTACCAGTTCTGGAGCTCCTTTGTCTGGTCAGCAAGAAGGCTTCGAAGAGAGCTCCAGGAGAACGCGTCTCCACCAAGTTTGTCTCGCTTTGTGGGCGAGGCGCCAGCCTGAGATTTTCTCTTCCCTGTGACAGGCACTTCCTGAATATCATCTTCCTTCTCCCCCTCGGAGACAGCGTCGAGGTCCATGGTTTGCCCGGGGAGCCCTCCCGCATGCCCCTTACCTGTGGCCATGTTGAGTCACGGCGCGGAGAATCGCACTATCGACGAACTCAAGGGCCACCTGGACTCGCCGATCTCCGCACCGGCCCTCCGAAGCACGCCGAAGATGTTGAGGCACTGGCCGCCCCAGGAGACAGCACGCCGGAGCTATGGCTCGGAAGGATTATGAGGTTGCCGCAGTTTAGGGCTTTAGGGTTTAGGATCTAGGGTTCCAGGCCTTGAGGGTTAGGATTTAGGAGATGGGCTGGAAACGGCGCGTTTCCATTGAAAAACGGCTTTTTCTTGGTCGACAGCACGATAGCAGAAATTCGGGGTAAATTTGACCAAACCTTTAGGGTTTAGGATTTAGGGTTCCAGGCCTTTAGGGTTTAGGATTTAGGGTTCCAGGCCTTTAGGGTTTAGGATTTAGGGCTCGGGGCCTTTAGGGTTTAGGATTTAGGGTTCCAAGCCTTTCGGGTGCAGGATTTAGAGTTCCAGGTTTTTGGGGTTTAGGATTTAGGGTTCCAGGCCTTTAGGGTTTAGGGTTTAGGGTTCCAGGCCTTTTAGGGTTTAGGATTTAGGGTTCCAGGCCTTTAGGGTTTAGGGTTTAGGGT